TGTGAGCCACCATGCTGGCGCTGGGACTCGAACTTGGATCCTATGGAACTTGGATCCCTTTCATAATTTGGCTTATAGACTGAGAATCTAGACGATCTGGTCAGGCACTATTTTTAGCCTCTTCTTGCATCTTGACAAGTGTGAGGCACCATATGAGACTGAGACGTGAGATCGCGAGAGAAGATCGGTCTGGTGTGCACTGAGCACCTGGGCAAAGTTCTGGTACCCCTTTTCTTCTATGTCGGTGCTGGGGTCGGTCATTGTTAGATTATCACTACCCCAGAGTCACTACCCCAGCCCACCACACTGTGCCTGCAAGACCCTCCAACCCTTAGCCTGCTGGGGCAGGGCTCAACTCTCCGATCTTTGTATATTTGAGACCGATCCCAGAGGATGGGACCCGGTGAATGTACCTGTACGCCATAGCCCCTCTGTATTCACGGGTTTCTTACACCAGTCAGACGCTGCTGCGGAAGCGTTCTCATGCTAGAGGATAAATAAGCCTGAAACTTTTGGTGGGAGCCTGAGGCTTTCCTTACCTGGAGGCCATTGGGAAGCATAAAGGGGAAGGCTCAGGCTCCATCACATAGTGCTCCAGTGAAGTGCTCCTGGGTTGGCAGGGCAGAGGCGCCATCTAGTGGTCACTCCCAGAATATCCACATGCTCCTTTCCTGCGGCACTAATGACCTGGGGGCGTGTCCAACACTCATGCCAAAGGTTAATTAAGAGGTGGGAAGCATCTCTGGCTCCCTATGTTCAACCTGGCTGAGCATTTTGCGTGAGTGGCTGTAAGGGTCTGCGTAAATGGGGCGTCAATTTAGACAAGGGACTCAGTTAATTAATTGGGAGGTGACAAACTGCCACCTGGTATCCTCAAGAACTGAGTTCCGTCTGGGGCATAAAAGTCCCAGAAGTGTTGTGTTACCTCTCCTGTCTGGCTCCCTCTGATGCTGCCTTGCCTACAGTCCACTTCTGCCCGGCAGGACCCTGCAATTATCTTTTCCCTATCAAGTAGAAGACCCACCAAAGGTGGTACCTTTTCTGAGCCAGGGGAGAGAGTTCCAGCTTGGTTGAGACTGGGTCCCTGAAGGATTTATCTCTCCTGGGCAGGCCAGATGGGGAGCACCCACCAGCAGAGGTGGATGGTGACTGCCTTGGTGGGGCACAGAACCCAGAGAAGAGATGTTGATCTGGACGCCAGCTTCCAGATGCGGCTGCTCAGACTGTGCCTCAGTGGTTAACCCAGAAGGTTCCCTTCTTGGGCTACCCGAGATATTCTCAGAGAAGGGTGAGGCCTCCGGGCTCAGTATGCCTACTCAGCGTTCTCCGATGGGTGGTATGTGTGCCTCTGAGTTTCCCGATTGGCTAGCTCCCCTGCTTCTCTGCGAGCTACTCAGCCATATGCCCCTCACTTCATCTTGGTAACTCCGCCGGAGATCCCAATGAGACAGAGTTGACAGTACCAGCCAGTCAGTGCCCAAGGCAGGCTGGAATCCTGAACCCCTTCCAGGGTGTGATAATGGGGGCCTTTCCATCACAGAGTGTGGGCCTCACGGCCGCCAAGAGGGCCTTTGTGTCAGGTTAGACCGTCTGACTAGATTGAGGCAAGGAGGATAGGATCCTCTGGTGTGGAGTGGGAGAGGTGGGTGATGGGCTAATGATAGAGAAAATATGGGGGGTCCCCTCTAACTTCTACTTCAGATCTGCCCCCCCCCAGTCCAACCTCTCATAAATTCACCTGACCTGCTCAAGAAAACCCAACCGGTAGCTGCATTCAGCGGGCCTGCCCAGACCCACACGGCTGTGGCATAGTGAGCCCTTCAGAGGACGGAGGGACTCTGCCCCGGTCATCCTGGTGGCATCAGAAGTAGGGGTGGTGTCCATCACCCACCTGGCAGAGGCTAGTCGGCACCGTGCCACCTGGAGACGGTCACAGTTCCTACAGGCATTCCAGCCCCTCTGCGGACATCGCTGACCATGCCCAGCTGGGGAGAAAGCAGACAGCAGCTGGGACTCGGACCTCTCTTCTGCGGAAATGCTTCGCCGCTGAACGAGTCTGAACTGGTTCACAGGGGCTAGATATGCAGAGACCAGGGCTGGCAGAGTTTGGTTAGGCAGAAAAGAAAAGCAAGATTAAGGGCTCGTGGCGACATTCCCCAACACTCATGGACCCAGAGCCATTTAGTCCACAGACAACTCCACGCCCTAAGTCTTCTGCTTATTCGCATTTTATACACACACACAAAAAAAATGATGTGCAGAAATGTTTAGCAACCAAAGGGCCAAAGGCCCACAGCAACAAAGGGCGGAATGGGGCTTTGATCCCAGGCAGAACAACAGCACGAAGACCCGCATTCTCTATTGGGTACTGGGATGGCTCTATGCTGGGAAATGGCCAAGAGTTTGGACACCGGGGTCGGAGAGCTCTGGGTTTGTGCCCAGAGTCTCTTCCTTCTAACTGAGAGAGCTCAGGTGGGTTTCCGTCTCCTTAGCTGAGTGTGAAAGAGAGCCACGCTACCTTTCTAGGACACAGGGGGGTTTACACAAGCCGATGATGTCACAGGTTTGGCTGGCACTCAGCCCCACACAGACTTTAAGTGGCTTCTTTAAAGAAACTTCTGCGGCCCAGGCCAGCGGCTCAGTGGATGATGCGGATGATGCTTGTGACTAAATCAGGAGAGATTTTATTGCAAATGTCCTCTCCCCCCCTCCCCCCCGACACCCAAGCCTCCTCCGGCCTTTGGCACGAGCCCTGTGTCCAGTTAGCGGTACCGTGGAAAACCCATGAGTTTTTTGTGTGTTGCTTCCTTGCCAGCTCAACCCAAACCCTTATAGTGCAGCAGACTGCTCCTGTTTCCTTTGCCAAGGGTGAGAGGGTGAGGGGCGGGGTTGTAGCTGGCAGCCTGTTGGGCCTGCACGGTTGGTCGGCCAGGGTCTGACTGTAAGCTCTTGATACCAGTAAGGCAGTGGACCCGGCAGGGGAAGGCTGAAGCCATCCTGTTAAGGCAAGCGCAGGCCTCTGGAGAGGCCTGTGTGGGGGAGAATGCGCGGCAGCCTGGGTACCACGGATGTGCTTCAAACGGGCTAAAGCGTCAGATTAACACACACTGACTAACACGAAACTTTCTACCGCCATTCTTTGTGTAAAGCACTATGTTCTCGTATTTGGGACAGGCCACAGAAGAGGATCTCAGTTCTGAAGACAGGGAACGGGCAAAGGATTGTGGGTAGGAGTGGGACCTGGGTTGGGTGCATGGATGGTTGTTTGTCTTAGAACATGACCTAGAAAAAGGAGGAATACAAGATATTTTCACGTACAGCACTCGGCCCATTGAATGGTCAGGGGCCTTTTGTGGGGGCTTTGCTTTGAGCAAACCTAAAGCTTTCCTTTCACATTGCTGAAGCCATTAGGTGTCTTGTCTTCAAGGTGTTTTTCTGGCATGCTCGGCTGCCCCCTTCTTGTGCTGGGGGTGGGGGTGGAGTGGACCAAGGGCCATGCATGTCCTAGGCAAGGGTTCCTCAGCTGAGCTACACGCAGCTCAGGTCTGCGCCTGCTAACATGATTGATGAGCTACAAGTCCCCGAAAAACCTGGGGTGGATGACACCCTCTCTTTGTTGGGAGAAGCAGAGCTTGCTTCACTTAGATCCCGCATGGAAGCACGTCTTTACACTCAAAGGGCTAAATTTTTCCCAAACAGAAATTCAGAAATCATATTTTTCCCCCAGCAAGCACTACTGAAAATGCATCAAGGAAGTAGATTTTTAAAAAATAACCCAAAAGGTGAGAATTGAAACCTTCATTCTTCTCTGTGTGTGTATGTATGTGTGTATGCATATATATATGTGTGTGTATTTATGTATGTGTGTATGCATATACGTATGTGTATGTATGTGTGTATGCATGCATTGTGTATGTATGTATGTATGCATGTGCATAAATGTGTGTGTGTGTGTGTGTGAGAGAGAGAGCGGTTTGTGTAGGGTGTTTTCTTCACTCTCCACCTTATTCTTCATTTTTGCTTATTTTGTTTTATGAGCATGAGGGTTTTGCCTGCATGCATGTATATACACCACATGCATGCAGAGCCTATGAAGGTCAGAAGAGGCCACAGGATCCCTTGGAGTTGAAGTTACAGATGGTTGTGAGCTGCCCCATGGCTACTGGGAATCTAACCTGGGCTGTCTATAAAAGCAACTCGCGCTCTTGACTGTTGGGCATTCTCACCAGCCCCTCCACCTCACTTTTGGAGGCAGGGTCACTCACTGAACCTGGAGCTCACCAGTTTCGCTAGACTGGCTGGCCGCTGACGGCAGAGGCTCTGTTGTCGCCGTTGCCCCAAGCTGCAGCTGCAGGTGTTTGTCATTGCGCCTGGCTTTTTACCTGGGTTCTGGGGGAGTGAACTCAGCAAGCACTTTGCCGATGAAGCCATCTCCAAAGCCCCCAAATGTTCTTCCTTATTCACGTCTAAATACTAAGTGTTTATTTTCTGCCAGCGTCTGTCGTGAGTTAGACCAGCTAAAAGAGCAAAGCCAGACCAAAAAAGAGACAGACCGTGTTTCTCCTTCTGATTTCAGAACAAGTCTGTTTTGGGGAGCCAGTAGTTTCCAGAGGTGAGGTAGGAAGTGACTCGCTGGGCTGGGGTGGGGCGGCACAGGAGCGGAGATGTGGCAGCCATGTCAGAACCAGTCACATGAACTGTAGGTTAGTAAATGGGCTGGGGAGCTGTTGGTAGAGGGCCGCTTCGACAGGGCAGGCGCAAAGGCCCTGAGTCACTCAACATGCCCAAGGAGCAGAAGGGTGGCTGTGCTGGGGGAAGAATGAGCAAGTGGTCTCAGGGAGGTCATGGGGACCAAGTCAGAAGGTGAGTGTCGCGGGGAGAGGCGGGGCTCATGGGTGGGCCTGGGGACTGCAGCAGGTTTGTTAGGAAGAGAACCGGCTGACTTGTGTTTTACAGGATCCTTGACTCGGTGCAAAAATAATAAATACAGGCAAACACAGAAGACGGGAGGAGGCTAAACGGGAATAGCAGGTCCAGGTGCTCTGACTGCGGGATGGGGAAAGGGGGGCTGTTAGGGAAGGGGAGGGAATAAATACTGAAGAAGAGGGTGCCAAAATGACAGTAAAGGTGTTTGAAAAAGTCACAGTCATGGCTTCTTAATTTGTTTTTTCTTCTACTAGGCAGGACTGTCATCGGATGAAGTGTCTCAGCCGCCTTGGCAACTGGAGCGAGTGAATTAACCATGCTTTTATTTTTGGATGCTTTTACATCATGGGTATTGAAGTCACAAGTGTCACATGATGGAAGGACCTTTGAGTCACCCCCTCGGTGGAGGACTGATCAATCTAGAACATTCATGCCGCCCTTTGAGTGAGTGAAAATTAAGCTTTCATTGGAGGGTTTTTTTTCCTTTTGTCCTAGCAATTGGCCCGTTCTGACAGTGACAATTGCTGGATCCCAGCAGACAGAAACCTTTGGGGTAACTGATGGGCCACACGGGTCCTAAATGACGGCATATCCAGTGGTTTGAAGCCTGGCCAGATCAAGTCTGATGTGAGAACAGTGAGGGAGAAGTACAGGCAGGAGTCTGGCCATCTGGGATGGGTTAGTGTCAGGAAGAGGCGCCTGCCACCCAGGGAGGAAGAAGAGTCAAAAGCCTCGACCTTGCATGTGCCATCAACCCCCGAGACCAGGCTTAGCGAAACTACAGAGGGGACTCAGAAGAAAGAAACGAAATTCCAGTCATGGTGGTACACACCTGTGATCCAAGCATGTGAGCCCCCAGGAAGCTGAGACAGGAGGATCAAGAGTTTGATGGGCAGTTGGGGCTACAAACTGAGACCCTGGAAAGAAGGAGGGAGGGAGAGGAAAAACCACATAGGACATAGTACTTCATGGTGACTTCTGAATCATTCATTCATCCATTCATTCACTGAGCTCCTGTACTGTTCCAGACACCGGACACTGGAGCAAACTCTGGGAACGAAGGATACAAGCAGTTGATGGACCTTACGTTGGATCAGGGGAGGCCACTTAGCCCATTTTCTGCCACTGAGAATGCCCAAGATAAACAACTTACAAGGAGGAAATGTTTGTTTTGGTTTTGACTTCAGTTGGCTCCTGCTGCTTTGGCCTGCATGACAGGAACACCCCACGGAGCAAACACGTTCATCTCATGGCAGCCAAGAAAGAGAGTAATGGGGTGGGGCGGGGAGGAACAGGCTGGAGACCCAGACTCTCTTCCAAGTCATACCTCTGCTGACCTAACTGTCCCACTAGCCGCTACTTCCTGAAGGTTCCTCAGCCCCTCAGTCATGCAGTAGGCCAGCAGTCAGTCCTTTAAGACATCAGTTTGTGGGGGATGGTTAAGACCCGGGAACACATGACAAAGGGCTATGAAGGAGTTGACAGATGTACAATCGAGGGGGTTTGCTTTGCCAGGGAGCAGGGGTGACACAGAGTGGTGGGGAGTAGAATTCAAGCTTGCGAGAGTAGAGGAAGGCGGCGAAAGGAGCATTCGTCCTTCTAGGCAGAGGGGACAACGTGGGCAAAGGCCCTGTGGCAGTTGGGCTGTTGGTGCAGGAGTAACTGAACGGAGTGAGAGGAGGAGAAAGCCAGGGACAGCAGGGTGACAGGAGGCAGAGAGAAAGGGGCAGGGTCATGAGCTGTCGTCATTTAGAAAGTCTCAATAGGAGCGTTCTGGACCAGGTTGGCCTCTGGACATGTGTGCAGGGTGTTGTTTTGATGACAGTAATTGATGTGGGATACCCAGGCCACTGTGGGTGGCACCACCTGGGCAGAAGGTAGTGCAGTTTGTAAGTGCAGACCAGGCTAGGCCCTAAGAAAAGCAGGCACCAACACTCTGCGCTTGACTCTGGGGTAACTAGCTGCTTCAGGTCCCTCGCTCAAATTTCTTCAGCGACAGACTGCAGCCTAGAGTTTTTATCAGGGTGTTTTTCTCATGGCAACAGGAATTAACCTGGAACCCTGCTTCCTGCTGTGTTTTAGGGGACCCACCTCCATCTTCCACACTGGGGAAGTTCTGTGGGTGGCTCTTTCTAGACTTGTCCCTGGTAGCTGCTTGAAGCTGACGCAGTTCAGAGAAGAGGGCTTCACCCCTCCCACCTTCTTCTCCAACACCCCCAGGACAGTGGACTCAGACACAGGGCCAAGCGTCCTAATACTGCAGACAGCTGGTGTGTGCAGTGCGACTGAATATTGACTTTATTGCTAGAATTTTCTAACCTTGGTTCCCACTGATCCAAACCAGAAGCTTGCATCCCGAAGTCTTCTCATCTTGTAATACTGGGAGTGAGGGGAAGCAGCCCTGGTCCTGAGCAGGGAGCAGGCCCCGTGGAACCTGCCTCGTGCACAGTGCCTGGAGACAGAGTGGTCCCAGTGTGCCCAGATCCTGACACACCAGCTGCAACAGCTGTGTCTTGTTACCCACTCCGATCAATCCTAACTTTTAGATGTCACCTAAGCCACATTGCATATGGCAGGCCACCGCAGCCACACTAGCCAGGTGCGGGGGTCACAATTTGCAGGCCTTTTTTGGGAAGACATACCATCACTTCCTTCCTGTCAGATCAACTTCTGAGACTGAGAACTGACAAGAGGAATCTCAGAGCTGGGGAAACGCTGAAAGCTCAGAGAAGCAGAGCAGCCAGTGACTAGAGCTCTTACCGCTATGACATCTCCAGACTGAAAAGAGGCTGAGCTCCTGTCTCCTCCCTCCTTATATTCCTCTCTCCACCCAGTCATATCACTTCCTGTCTGTCTGTACAGACCTCCAGACCTCTATAGTTAACTAGTGGCTAGCTCCTTCCTCTGATCTTCAGGCAAATTTTATTTGTTAGAATACAAACAAGGTATATTTCCTTTTTCTTTAGTCTAAAATAGAAAAAGTTACAACTAATATAAGAAAAACTACATATAATATGTACAATAACTACATACAATATATAGACAACAAATACATCAGTAATGTCTAGTCCATTAGCAATGATAAATTCAGAGGAAAATACTCCACATCTATCCTATCTTGGTTAGTCCAAAAGGTTGACCTAAATCACTTTCTATTTGAACTTGCATTGCCAAAACTGTCTTTTAATGTTTCTCAACCTTATATACATTTCTTTAGTGAATTTCTTTTCTGAATCTGGTAACAAGGAAAACTAACTGTAACTATAATGTCTTCAACTCCATTAGAGACCTGAGAAGGAAATAATATTATCTGAAGAAATAGGAAGTGTGAGCAAGCGACTTCCAAAAATTGTGAGAAATGACAGAAACATCTGGCTGCCTGGGCAGTCATCCAAAGCCCATCTGCAGTGTTGGGCATCTATCTTTGGCATACAGACTTAGCATATCTGACTAACTTTTCTGTGAGGGAGGGTATTCAGAAGGGCTGACCTAACTTGTCTTGGCAAAGTTTGGCAGTCCTTTTTTTGTGTCCTGCTTATCCAATTTGGACAGCATACTTTCAGCAGTCAAGGCAAGAGCACTTTCTTGCCTGGTGGCTTACTTTTACCACAAAGAAGTAAACTCCATATGAAGTGTCCATAATTTTCTCTGAAGTAGATTGGTGCTGCCAGGAACAGGCATGTCTCATTGTTATAAAAGAATCTATGTCATTAAAACATCTTAAATACCATATTATGTAGATCTCTGAATTGTTTGAAGATGACCTGTCTATCTAAAATACGTCTTTGTTTGACCTTGAAAACATACCTAAAATAACTACAAGTCTGATTATAATAGGTTATAATTGCTAACCTGCATTTTCTTATTAACCTAAATACTTGGTAATAATAACTTTCAAGGACTAAAAATTTGCATTACATTGTTAAATGAGCTGTATAGGTAATACCTTGAACAAGAATAGAAATGTACATATAATATGTTCTAACCAAAATAACTTTAAATTT